ACATCCAATAACTAATTTGAGTCAATTATTAGAGATCATAATGGACGATTCTCATTTTTTCCTATACGATCCACATGGCAGAAACAACTTGATGATTTTAATGTTGTTAGGTCAATCGTTTATTGCCCATCATCCCAGATGATCCATGTTTTTATCTTGTATGATATGTTTAGTTAATGATTATACATGAGCGTTCCTTAGGATGATCACTTATGTCTTATCATCCTAGATGATCCTAGTTGATATGACTGACTTTTTTGACTGATCGTCTGTACAAATTAATTACACTTGATCATCTCAAACTATCATCCTAGACGATTTAGTCGATCCTATTTAAATAGCCCAAATTCAAGGTATTCTTCACTCCAATTCTTCAACACTCCTCCCTTATCCTCAGAACTCTGATCCTTATAATGGCTAGAGGCAAGCAATCAGTACAAATTATAAGAATTTCTTCTAGATGTCAAGTTGATCCACCATTTACTGAGGCAACTGATGAAGATTCTATAGTAGATATAAGGAGGCTCGAATTACACCCTCTAAAATCATAAATCAGGAGGAACTCCATTTTAAAGTATTACCCCTTTTTGCTCACACAACTCTGATTTTCCTTCTTACTATTGCTTGTCCTTTTTATTCTGAACTACTCCTTAATTTCGTTGCAAGTCTGTGAATAAAAAATGAGTGTATTGTATTGTCCTTCATTTATATGTCAATAGGCGTCCAGTAGAAATCATCTATCAAGACCTTCATGCTTTTCTACATCTTCCACTACTAGTGAAAAAGTTCATATTTTAGCTGCAAATCCAAAATTCGATTCGACACCACTCTTAGAGGATCCACCAATAACTTCCATGTTGCCCAAGTTAGCACCTTAGGTCATGATGCTTACATCATCCAGCATATACTTAGAAATTCTATTATTCCTAAAGCTCGTGATTGACTCAACATCACTCTTGTCCTTTCTCTTGCAATTTATTTCATAATGGCTCAGATTGACTTTAATGCAGTAGATCTTTTAATTTGCTTTCTTTCTAATTTGACTTGTATCAGAGATCTATTTTGTTTGCCCTACTTACTAACCTTTCAGGTCCATAAGATCACTTGCAATGCAAATCGGTTCAAGATCAGGTAGACTAAGATTGAGTATGTCTATAACCTAAATTTTAATATACTTTTTACTTTTCTTAAGTCAAGTTATATATCTCGTGGACCCCAAGCTAATTAAACTTGCACGCATACACTTAGGGAGAGAAATTTAGTGTGTTAGAGATCTTTTCTATTTTTGACCTAATCAAACATGATGATGTCAAATCGTACTGGACGATTAGTTAAAATTAGAAACTCAGATTAGGACATCCATGCTAATTATAAGTGATTAAACTAATCATACTGGATGATCCATATTGTAAAAGAACAATCAGCTTGGAAGATGAAAAATAGCCGCCAACATAATTTAGGCAATGTTTTAATTCTCAAATTTGTACTAATCGTATAGGATTATGTACATCATCCTGAACGATTCAGGACATTCGTGCCTAAATTAATCCGTGATTAAGAAACATGTTTGGTATGATAAGGGATCGCCACCTATCATACCAGATGAATACCATACTTTTTCAACTAATCGACCAAGACGATATACCCATATCGTACTGGACGACAAAGAAGTTCTTGGGAAAATTAGGCATTGTCGAGCATCGTACTAGATGAAGTTCAATAGTTTTATACTAATCATCCACATTGCCGAGCATCATACTAGATGAAGTTCAATAGTTTTATACTAATCATCTGCATTGCCGAGCATCGTACTAGATGAAGTTCTATAGTTTTATACTAATCGTCCAGGATGATATTCAAATTATTTGGGACGATCAGCTTATTTCTCTTGAACTAATCATACAGGGCAAAGCTGATCGTCCTGGCTGAAAGGGTTATTTGAACTAATCATACAGGACGATCTATCGATTGTACTGGACGATCAGCTCTGTATAATTGAAATTAAGGCTTCTTTGGGAGGCTCTCTATTTTAGCAATTGTATTAACCCTTGAGTTAACCTTTTGTTGTGGAGTTGATCCAAGAGAGAGCTTAAAAAAGGAAGAGGGAGAGCTTGAGAGAGAGAGAGAGAGAGATCCTTGTGAGAGAGAGTTGTGAGGGAATCATAAAGGTTGCTCCAAGCAAGGTGTTCGTCGACTTCTTCAAGTTGCTTTTCTATTCCTTGGAGGCTCTGGGGAGATTTTCTTCAGCATTATATTCAAGGTTTTCTGTCTACTCAAAGTGAGAGTAAAAAGATTTCCGAGTTCTCTACCTTCACCAGGTGGGTAAAAAAGGATTTCCAAGTTCTTTGCTTACTCCAAGAGGGAGTAAAAGATTCAAGGTTCTCTATCTCACCATGTTGGTGGAAAGATTTTGTAAGAGTTTCTCTGCCTTGCTGTGGGAGCAAAATGAGAGTCACTTCAGTTTAGTGCAATACTTGGAGAGGGAGTCTCCAAGGAGTGGACGTAGGTCAAGTTGACCGAACCAATATAAATTATGATTTGTTCTTCTTGTTTACTTTTCCACACTTAAATTTTCGCATTATTATGTGATTTCTTTTGTGGTCAAAATCTTTGATCTTTGCTCTTGTTAAATTAGTTTTACTTCTGCATAAATCGTTGGTTTTAAAATATTCAAAAAGATTAAAAAACAAAATTCGTTAAGAATTTTTTTTAAATAACCAATTCACCCCCCCTCCCCCCGGTTAGCCTCGGCACTAGTTTTTTAGGGTTTAACACCTCTCACAAACTTTCAGAACCTTGAATTGCTTTTTTAACATAAATCATGCGCATCACTCATAGTTTTTATATTAACTACTTCTCATTTAATATAAATTTTAATTATGGAAGCAAAGATAAGGTGGAGGACAATTCATTTCTCTTTTTCATCAAGCTTAAGGATAAAATCAAGTAAGCTTCCTTATGAAGGTTCATGCACTATGTTGGATATGCTAATAATTATAAATTTTGAGATGTATGTTTAAACCTGCATTATTTTTTCTTTTGAAGTAATGACCAAGTTTTTTCAATTCCCCACTAATCAAGATTATCTCTTGCAATTTTATTTTTTAATCTAATATATAGACTCAATTGAGAAAGTATGGTTGGCCATTGATTTTTTTTTTTTATTTCTCAATTTGATCTTGAGGACAAGATTTTTTTTAATGGTTATTAAGGAGAAAAAAATATTAAGATGAGGTGGCTACTAAGAGTACAAGCTAGATGTGTAACTAAGTCAAATTAATTTATAAGTTAAATTAGTCTCAGCTTGATAAATGACTCATGAGTTAAGCTCAATAAACTATGAAACAAGCTTGAACTAATCCTAACTTGAGTTATTAACTCATGAGTCAACTAATTTAAAAATATTAATATAAATACATTTTAAATAATATTAACTCAATTAATGTTAAGTTAAAGCAACAGTAGCTTATTCTTAACTTGACTTGTTTACACCCCTAATATATGTCTAAAGGTTAATAAAGAAAAGAGAATACACAATTTCTAGAGAATGCTCAATGAATTAAAAGGAAAGCAACATGCAAATGGACCAGACAAAATTATGGCAAAAATTTTGAGTGGTTCAATCAAACGACCTATATGTATTATAAAATTTTAAGGTATAATTTATTGTGTCAGAGAGGATAAACAAAACAACTCATAGAACTGAGAAAAATAATGAAAACAGAATCATAGAAATTAATAATATATAAAAGGGACAAAAAAGTTAAAATTGTCTTATTTATTGAGATATGAAGAATAAAGATAAGGTAAGTTAAGATCTGCAAGTTATTGGATAATAGTAGTTTGGCACTGAGAGGATCATGAACCATGTCTAGAGAAAGAGAGGACAAGTATGCCTATTCCTAGGAAAGAGTTAAGGATCCCCATTTTTCTATTTCTATAAAACCAATTCAATTTAAATCTTCATTGGCTCAATTCTTTGAGTCAAGATTTAGACTTTATTTATGATAATTTTATTACTGTTTTTTAAAATAATTTTTTAGTATAAAAATTATACTAAAAAACTACTTCAAGAACAATAAAAAAATCATCCCAAACAAAATCATAAGCCATGAACCAAATTTATGTCAACACAAATTGCTCAAAAATCAAATCTACCTTCCCTTACAAGGTCCATCATGAAATCCTCCTCTCCCTTACAAGTTTTCAATCTTATCAATGCCTGCCTTCCCCAACGAGGTTCATTATAAACCCCTACTCTCTACACATCATTAATCCCATCAAGTAACTCACCTTCTCCTCAGAAGCCACCAATCCCCTAAAACTCCCTATTCTCCTTCACATTTCTTTGATCCCATCCGCAAATTCCTCTTCTCACACAAAATTGAGTCGCCATTGTCTTTCTTGTCCTTCCCATCAATGCCCTCAACAACCAGCATGTGAGCAAGATCAAGATATGGTTCTGATCAAATTATATTTATTATTTTTTTTTTAATAAATATGCTACCCACTAAACAGACTAATTTTAAGGAGGTTATTTGTGCCTTTGGCTACCCTTGGCTTTCCAATTTGTTTAATTCCACAACACTTTCACATCCATATGCAAATTTTAAACACCAAAAATCTTGATACTCTAGAAATAATTGAAAAATTTTTCATAGTATTTCTTGCAATTTTTTTCCTTCTTAAAATGCAAAGATACACATTACCATAACCATACATTTCCTCACTCTAATAATCACTTCCACAGCCTTAATTTCTAAACTAAAAATGCTTTAAAGAACCTTTTTAGTCATCATGAAATCCTCCTCTCCCTTACAAGTTTTCAATCTTATCAATGCCTGCCTTCCCCAACGAGGTTCATTATAAACCCCTACTCTCTACACATCATTAATCCCATCAAGTAACTCATCTCCTCCTCAGAATAAGTTGCATATCTAAGATCAGAAACCCAACTTAATTGTGCATGAAACTATGCTCCAAACACACAGCACAGAGAATTAAATAAAATGGAGAAATATGCACCACATAATAAGTGAAATGAGTAACAAACCTACTTTTTAGCTTTCCACATACTAATTATCAAGTAAAAAGAAAATAAACTGCACGCTAACAGTTCAATGGGTTCTTACAGAATCTCTAGGAGCTTGGGTACCCTAAGCTGACCTTAGAAATATTCCCATATTCACCCCTCTAACAAAAAAAACAAAAAAGAAAAAAAAATATTGCCAGAAAACTTAAATAACAAGTACAACATAGGAGACATTGCTGAGCCCATTTCCATTGTATTTATTTATCAAGGCTAACACGTTTGGGTGGAAGAGCGTCGCCGAAGAGGACTGGAGAATCAAAGCTCAGCAGCTACGCAAACCAGATAAAGAATGAGTTGGACGAATCATACCATATAATTTCTCACCAAAAAAGAGCTGTTGAGGGAGAAAAGGGCACAAATTTCAAATATGGTATGATATCTGACATCAATCAATTGGGAAATTTTGCTTCATAGTTCTGCGGAAGCTGAAAATGTAAATACCAAACACAGTCAGAAATATAACGAATCAAATGAAAAACAAGTCTATGGCAGATAACATACCATGAAAGTGGCCGTAATCATCTTTCCTGCAAACCACCTTCCATGAAGTGCACGCTGTGCATTCATGGCTGCATTTGTGTTTTCAAATCGTAGATAGACAAAACCAGCACTATTTCTGTTATTGGACAGGCAAGTAACACAAGATAAGCTCGAAGCATCAAGATATAGCAGCAATACTTAGCCTTATATATTATAATCTGGGCATGAAGAGAGTATCTAATCTGAAAGCACTGTAATAGAACATAAAAATGAGAGCACAAATTCAAAATGAAGCACTTCAACTTTTCACAACAATCCACATTTCCATTATAATTTTTCTTTTAAAAATAAGAGGGGTAAGAATGGGAGATGAATCCAGGATTTCTGATTTTGTTTCCTCTGGGAAAATTTTGACCCATTCAGTATCTCAAATTTTGTTTCCTCGGCAAAAATGGTAAGGCTTTTAATATCTCAGATTTTCTCTTGAATCCAAAAACCTTGAGCATCGGAATACAAAGAACCAGCTTTTTCTCTCCATACAAAACCTGCCCTTTCTGAACACACACACGAATTTTTATTGCCTCAGGTTACATGACGTAGAGATACATCAAGTAGCCTATAATATATCGCCACGTGCTCTAACTCTTTACTGCGCGGCCCAACGACCCAACCCGGAACGAATATGCTCGGTATTTGCTCTGTATTGCTCGGTATTTGCGGCATTTCGTCGCTTGAGTTCGGGACGGTGCTTCAGATACGAGTCTCGCCAGGCAGCGTGAGAAGCCGATAGCGTCGAGACATCAACGCCAGTACTCCGATCTCACAACGCCGTTGCAGGTTTTTGCTACTTTGGGGTGTGAGAACGCCGACCGTCGTCAGGATCGCCGCCGAGCGGCGTGCAATCGAAGGCGTGAGTGAAGAGCTCAATGCAGTGGCGTCTCAGAGCCTTGATACTGTCGCCGCCCGGCGACGAGTCCGCGCAGCATTCCTCAACGCGCAGGAGCGGCTTGATCACTTTCTCTTCAAGGTTCCCAGTCGTTGATGAAAATACCGAGCAAATATCGAATAGTACCGAGCAAATACCGAGTAGTACCTAGCAATACCGAGCAATACCAAGCAAATACCGAGCAATATGCGAACATAGTAATCCCGGATTCGTTTCGGGTTGGGTCGTCGGGCCGCGCGGTAAAGAGTAAGAGCACGTGGCGATATATTATAGGCTACCTGATGTATCTCTACGTCAGGTAACCTGAGGCAATAAAAATTCCACAGAGAGAGAGAGAGAGAGAGAGAGAGAGAGAGAGAGTCAGAACCTTACAATGTCAAAACAAAGAATTATAATAATCTCTCTTTCACATTCTATTTCCATCAATTCCACGTTGTTCTGCTCCACAACACTAGACATCCCAGCGCCATCACAATTGATCGGCCATGCAACCTCAAACATACAAGGTCAGCCACATCGTCTCCCTGGTCCCTCACGACAAAATGATTCCCCACGGTCTCCAAATAATTTATCCACACCTTCTCTACTACTACATAGCACACAAAATCAGGGTCACATGCATGTTCACCGTCTACTTTTCAATAGACAAAACAGAAAACCAATGTAGGTCTGCATTCACATTCTTGGGCATGTTCTAGATGGCAAAGCTTAAAACTAGGGCCAAAGTTTGATGCATGGAGCATATGCAGAAGCTGAACAACTACCACGCTGGCCTTCTCGCCATACCATCTAAGATACTTCATTGAGGTGACTAAAGCTGCCACACAATCCAATGGAAATTCAAATAAAGTGAAAGGAGCGGGATTAGAGAAAATTTTAAAACGGAGCAATTCTAATAATTCCTGATTTTACAGTCATAAATATATTTAATGTAAAATAAATGAATAAAAAGTTTTTTAAATAAGAAATAAACTTAATTAAAGAGATTATTACATATTTTGATTAAGATAAATTTTATATTTTATTTTTTTAAGTTATAAATAAAAAAATATTAAATATTTTTTACAAATTTGATTATAAATTATTAAATTAGATCATCAAATTACTTTGCGCCTATAGATTAATATCACCTTTGTCTATAAAGTTATTAATATTAGAAAATAATATCATTGAATTTCAACCATGTCGTTTTTCTCAAAATTTAATTTTCTTTCTAATTTGAATAGCTTTCAAGGAAAAAGTGACACTATCAAATTTGATAAAATGTTTAATATCAATACAATTAATTTTCTAATATTAATAACTGTAAAGAAAAATTGATATTAATCTATAGGTGAAAAATAATTTGATGATCTATTCTAATAATTTATAATCAAATCGACGAAAAATATTTAATATTATTTAATTTATAACTGAAGTAAAATAAAATTTAATTAATCTTAATCAAAATATGTAATAATCACTTTAATTAAATTTATTTCTTATTTACTTTTTTTAATTAATTTTATATTAAATCTGTTTATGAATATTTAAATCAGGGATTATTAGAATACCTAAAACCATTTTTGGTATTTTCAATAGAAAGGTCAAATCATTTGGTGTTTTCTAAGAAAACGCCAAATTGCTTTGATTTTTTACTCCTTTTTAAAATTTCCACTAATCTCATTCCTTTAACTTAATTAAATTATCCCTAAGCTCCTTTTTAAAATTTTACCTTACTAGAATGACAAAAAGTTGATTCCTTCTAACCCGCACCCACCACCACCACAAACCATACCATGTTTACATTACACAACCCGAATAGCTTTACATCACTTTCATTATCATCTAGATAAAACTCAGCGCAACTTTTTTTTGTTCCATTGAGATAAACGTAATATGATCGAGACAATAAGCTCATCCACATCCTCAGAGCATAATCACCATGGCATTATAAAAGATCGAAATTAAGAAGCAAGACCTCTAGTTCAACTACAAAACTCCCTCAACCCATTATAGGTCCTACATATTAATCCCAGAAACTCTAACCACTCAAACAAGAATCAAATACCATTTCCCCTCATTGCTCTCAGCTGCCCAAGAATATTGGACTGCTCAAAGTCTTTTGAACCTGAAATCATCTGTGATAGCCACCTTTCCATTCATAAGCACTACATAAAATCACTTATCAACTTCTTCCTCAAAACCTACCAGCCAACTCATCAGAGATCATCAGAGTTAAGATGAAAGCCTTACAGTTCTAATACAAAACTCCAAATATCTATCACCCAATAACATCAACTCCTACTTTTATAGGATAATAAGGCAAGAGTATTGTTTCAATAGACTAAATAGGATTTTGATTAAAACTTAGTAAATTCTATCATGATGTAATAAATATTGTCTTGAGAGGCATCTCTTACAACAATCTCTAGTAATCATCCATGAAAGTTGAACGAGGGATTTTGTTACGTAAATATATTAGTGGTAACCTATAAATCTATTTCAGATCAAATTAAATGCTTAATTTTCATATTGCGTTGTTAATGTGCTCCTTATTGACCCGAAACATAATTTGCCCTACAACTCCCCCATGTTCTTAGTAGCTCCTATTTGACAATCTATTTATTTATCTTGCATTGCTTTGCTTTTCTATGTTCTCCACATCTACTAGTAGAAAGTGATGAAATTCAACAAAGTATATTTGTGAACATATATGAATCTATAAAGATCCTCTCTACTCAACCATAATCATTTTCATATTTGCATGTATCTCGATAATCTCAATCACTTGGCCACCTCCGTGCACATCATTAAATATCTCCTCAATCTCCACTTAGTCACACCCAGGTAGAAATGTCTTCTTGCATTGTTAGACTTATCTTATATGAGACAATCTCATTGAAGTTAAGTCTCCTACTCCTGATAATCTTTCGATTAGTATCATTCCAAAATCAACAGTCAAGATCATTAACTCCATTAATAAAGTATAGTAAATTTCACATGCATATCAAAAAGACATTCGAGAACCTTCAAATGAAAAAGGTTATCTCCTGCCAATTTAAACTTAGTCAAATAGCTCATAGCCCAAGAGTTGACGGTCCTCAATTGATCAAATAAAAAAAATACTCACAGCGTTCACCGAAAAACAATATCAATGCAATATTCCCAATGTGCTATCTCCAATCATATTCCGCTAGTTACAAAATATTCAATGAACTCCTAGTTGTAATAACCTCCCATTCTATCTAATCTTACGCGCTTATAATTCACACTAAACCCATTCTCCACCTATCTTTCCATCTTTTGAACCGAGAAATCACATCAAAAGAAACCCACACTTTATAGGTTGAATCATTAATGAAGGTGACGTAGTACAACCTCCAAGAGATAATAGTTCAGATGGTCCCTAGGCATCAATGTCTACAAGCTCCAACTTTTTTGGATTCCCTTTCAACCAATGCAAGACTGACATTCCTTTGCTTGCCACTGTTAAAATTCACAGAGCCTAACATCCAGAGACTTCAAATTGAAATGTTTATATTTTGAATTTGGTATTCATATTCTATTCTCACCCATACATACCAGCCTTCAATGGCATTTGTTAGAGTCAACATTTGGGTTCATAGCTACTCCAGTTGTTTTGATATTTGAACGTGCATATATGGAGTCATTTTTCCTTTCACTTGTTACCACCATAACACCCTTGGGCACTTTTCAGTATCAATATAGAAGGTCAAGTTGCACCCTTCTTCATCCAATAGTTCAAATGAGATCAAGTTCTTTTTCAAGCTAGAATGCACGTCATACGTTGTAAATCTTCCATGTTGTCTCATTCACCATAAATTGTATGTCACCAACTCCTACAATACATAAGGGCACAAAACCTCCTTCATAACCTACAAAACTCTTAAATATAAACCCTTTATATGGACCAAACTAAAAAGACGTGCCAGAGGCTAAGACCTAGGACTCCATAAGGCTATTAGGATCAAGGATTAATACATCATTGATCTTGTTAGTTGTAGCATTCATATATTCATCCATCTAACTTGAGCTTTGCCCACCATCCTAAAAAGCTTGCCTCATTTCATGTGGCCAATTTTCCCACATTGCAAGCAAGCACCACTACGACCTTTAAATTAAGATCCCATTTGAGATTTCGATATACCTTCATGGTTGCTCCTTTTATAGTTCTCCCTCCACGTTTA